ACTCAATACATGAGTCCAGGCCCCAGCCCCCCAACAGACTCAGTACCTGGTAGTCATCTTCCTCATCTTCACTCTCATCAGAGTCTAGAGATTTCTTCTCCTTTTTGGGGTCTCCCGCAGCCCCATCTCCACCTTCTTCTTGTTCCTCTTCTTCCTGTTTCAGAAATGACAACCTGCAGAATCAAAAATGTAAAACAAACCCCCAAGACTGTGACCCCCCTACCACTCTCAGACTGTGGACCTGGAGAAATCAAGTTTCTAGAAGGCTGGAACTACGAATGACCAGGGTCCAACTCTGTGACCCTGGACCCAGGGTGAGCAACATGGGTTAGAGACAGGCAGCCTATCCATTCCACCATCTGGCAAGCCCCTCATACAGCCACAAAAGGCCCTGCTCCCCTTCCTAGCCCAGCCACCTCACATAGCCTGGGTGAGAAGCTCGTCTCCCAGATCAGAGGGACTCAGCCATAGGGCTGAACACTACAGTCCTGCTCAGCTCCCCACTTGTCACCTGCAGCTGCCAAATCACACTGGCATTCCCAGGCAAGTCCTCCCCCTTCTGCACTCCCCCAGGTCCACAGCAGGCCAGCCATCCCGACCCACCCACACATGTGCCCTGCTGCACCAGCTTTCCCAGATAGCACCTCAGCAGGCTGCTTCCCTCCACCTGCCTTACCTTCCCACCAAAAAATTCCCTTACAAAAACCTTATCTTCTTCCCCTCTTAGCACCTGCCCACACATTCTCCAAGGTCCTGCTCCGCTGCCAGCTCCTCCATGAGGCCCTCTCAGACCCCACAGCTAGATGTGGCCTCTCCCTTCTCAGGGCTCCTGGGGTACTTCACAGCTGTGCACTCATCTGGCCCTGACTGTGCTCCCTTGGGCCCTTAATCCAGGCAGAGAGCTAATGATGTTACAGGGAGCACAGACACCAATAATGATGGCAACATCTTCTATTTCCTAACAGTACCCTGGACAAAGTACCACGGGAACAGAGGAGAGGGAACTACTAAGTCAGCTCTGACTTTGGTGGGGGAGGGTGGCGCCAGCACGAGTCACAGAGGAGGGGAGGCTGAACAAGGTCTCGAGGAATGACTGGCACTTTGTTGCTGGGAGTGTGGGAAGGCATGGCACCTGTTGGATAGAGCCTGGCAAGCCGTCCTACATGGCTGCAGCAGGCAAGTGGGGGTTGCTGGGAGCTGGAGCAGTGAATGGACAGAGCCTGGTGGAGGGAAAGCCTCCGGAAGGCAAGTACACAGGACCAAGAACACAGACCCACTAAGGCAACCATGGCTGAGTGAACAAAGTTCTTTCTAACTGATCCAGTTAGAGGTGTCCCCCACGCCCCCACTATCATCGGTTGTTCTGGGACTCACTGCCCTCCCCACCCCAACTGGCTCATCCCTGTGACTGGGTAGTCTGCCTGGCTTCTCTGTGAGCCAAAGAGACAGGACCCCACCTAGGGCCCCTGGAGTGGCCTAAACAGGCACATACTCACCCTGGCCTTCTGCTTTTCCGCCTGGAGCTGTGCGTCAATTTCCTCAGGGCTTGTGTACTGCCTTGCCCGGCCTTTGTGGCCTCCCTTTCTCCCTGCACAAGGATCAGCAGTTTAGGAAGGCCTGAGGGAAGCAGCTGCCTTGACTGCCCTGACCCCCAGAGGGTTGTGTGTGCTCAGAGTGCCCTCATCAGAGGCCACAGAGACCTCACCTACCCCTCACAAATCACCACCCAAACCTATCCCCCATCATGAGTTCAAAGGAATGCAAGAAGCCACCTGTGCCTATCTGATGCATCACCAAACTACGTGCTGGATGCAGGTTCTCACGAACAAGAACTGAGATAAGAAGAACCATACCGAGTGATGGCTAAATCCTCTGGTCCCTTAGAATCCAGGACTCAGATGCAACACAAAAACATGTAGCACTTATGCCCCTACTGTTGCTATAGGGCTTTTTGCTTGCAATGTTCTGTCACAGCCATGGGCTCATTTGATCCTCAGAATAAACCTAGGGTGCAAGAGTCATTGTTGGTCCCGTTTTATAGACAAGGAGACTTAAGATCAAAGCAGAGTGGTGAAGAGCACAAATTTTAGAGTCCAACCCCTGGATTCAAATCTCAGCTCTATGCTTACTAGCTTTTTGACTCTGGGCAAGCATTTAACCTCTCAGATACTCAGTTTCCTCATCTGTGTCCCTATCTCATAGTGCTGTCATGAAGACAGATTAGCTACTATACATAAAGCTGTTGGAACAGCACCTGGCACTGGATAAACACTACAAAAGTGTTCACTAAGATTTTTACCTTTCTCTCTAGGATAGTATCTGGTGGGAAAACAACAACAAAAAACACCACTGGCCATATAATTTATTGCAGATGTCAGAAATACAATAAATAAAATACTTCATGTTCATCTTAGTAGTATGGTAGAAAGAAAATATTTAAGGAAAAAAACCCAAAACACACAGGCAAAAACTCTGTGCTTGAAGTAAGAAATGACTGGTAAAGTTAGTTGAAAACAAACCTCACTATAGTCTAAGAGTTAAAAATGTGACTAGCAATTTAGGTTCATCTAAGAATATCAGTTTTACAGTCTTGAGACAAGATACCAGACTGACTCCTGCTGAAGCCATCAGCCAGTTTTAAAGCAGGGTGACATCCCCTCTGCTTATCCCATAGTATGCAGGGGTGGCTGTGACTTCGACCCCCACACAGGACCTCTCCTGGAAGCTGACGCCCACCAGATTTCCAGAGAGCCCCTCACTGTGAGCAGAGACTCTGTAATTAGCCAGAGCTGCTCCAGACTCTAGAGACAGTAGTAGAGATACTGGCCTCCCTTAATTTCCTAGACAGCAGCTGCGGAGCTGTAATTGGGCTGCTACAGACCACACCACCCATTTTAATGACTACCTAGGTTCCCAGAGGAGGCTAAGTCTAGCTCGTGAACGTCCTATTGTGAGATCAAGCTTGCCATTAAAAAAACTAACACCCCTTTTCTGCTCTCTTAATATTCTAGGGCAATAGTAACAACTCGAAGTTGATTACTATAAGTTCTCATCTCAAATACTTGGCTATGGGATACTGACCTTAGCTTGATCTACAGTACCTTTTATAATAGGCTCTTTTAAGACTTTAAAAATACTTCACAGTTAACACCATGGAAACAAGAGTTGGGCTTAGCTCTTGGGGAATTTTATTCTTTTAATACCTTCATGTTTTCTTGTGCTTTTCAAACAAATTAATCCTAAAGGAAACCTAAACCCTGTCTGTTCGCAAAGCTTTTTGCAAGCCAAAAGACCATTTAGCCATGAATTCATATTTAAGGTTTTCCAATTGTAGCCTCTAACCTTGGCCCAAAGTATCCATTAAATATGATTTTGGAGACAGGATGACTGATTCAGCAACCCCCTTTTACAGATGAAAAGACTAGGGAACAATAGAAGAGACATGGCTCTTCCAGTCACAGATTAAATCGGTAGAGAGCCAGGTTTAAACGGATTTAGCTCTATAAAGCCAATATCTCTGGAGTCAGGAAGTGATTTAGGTTTGAAAAAGCTCCAGGCAGATGTTCCTGTGGGCGGAGTGCATTAACCAACATAATACAAGAGCTACCAATATTAACTGAACATCTGTTCTGTGCCAGGAGCCAGCCAGGTACTTTGCGTGCTCTATCATTTTACCACTCCTATCCCGAACTCACCAGGCTAAGGACTATTCGCCGGGTGTTTCAGATGAGGAAAACAGGCCAGGGGAGGTTAAATGATTTGTTCAGGACCACAGAATTAGACAGTGACATAGCTGGGACTCAAACTGGGGACTTGATTCTAAAGGTGGAAAGAGGATGGAGGACAGGCTACATACACTGTACTGGGAAGACATGGACCTTCTCGGCCAAGAAGTGGCAACGCCTTACAAATAGTTAATGCTTGCGGGGCACTGTATTCCGCACTCCGCTTTGGATTACCTAGTTTAAGCCACGCATCAGTACTATGAGGTAGGTACAATCATAAGCCCCACTTGCAAATAAGAAAATTGAGACAGAAGGAGGTTAAGCGACCGGCTCAAAGGCACACACTGAGTTGCTACTGAATAGAGGAGTCAAAGCCAGGTCTACCAGGCTCATAAGCATCATGTTGAGTGTTATTTGGCAGGTCTAGCTCAGTCGGAGCCAGAGAGGGCCCACGTTTTACACGAAGCAGGCGGGCCCGGCACAAGCACAGGACGCGGTGACTCAGTCCCCAACCAGCCTAGAAGTGGGATAAACTCCAAACCCCTCAGGCTTGGAGAAGCGCGCCCCTGATCCGGCTCTCCGCGCCGGCGAGAATCCAGAGCCGCGGAAACGCCTCAGCCCACTGAGGGAGCCGCTCTAGGCCCCACCATGGTCCTCGGTCTCCCCATCGTGACAATTGGGCGTCGAGGCCCAGGCCTGGCCCTCAACCGGTGCGGACGGCCTCCCTGGACACCACTTTCTGAGACGCCCACGGGCTGAGGAGACAGCGGGAGTCGGATCCGGGCCTACCCTGGAGGCCCGCGGGCCACGCGCGCCCGCCCCTCACCTCCTTTAGGCATCGCGGCTCCAGCTGCTGCGGCGGCGGCGCCTCGAGTTGACACCGGAACCGGAAATATCTTGGGCTCGACTTCTTCCGCCCGGTCCAGTCCCTTCCGCGCGCCGCCGCCGCCGCCGCCGTCGCCGCCGCCGCCAGGACAGGGACCTCAGGGAGGCCGGCGCAAGAAGTCGGGCTGTCCCGCGCGTCGCCTGATTCCAGGTTCGCCTGCGTGCTGCCGGGCAACAGCACCCCCAGCATCCCCGTCCAGACATACGCATGGCTTTGCCGCCCACCCCCTGAAAAGTGAGGGCAAAGGGCAACAGCGTCTCTGGAATTCTATACAGGCAGCGCTGAGGGCACCTAAGAGGACGCAATCTCCGCGCGGGCTGGGCGGGGCTCGGCGAGGACCTCATCCCCAAGAGATAGCCCCAGGAGCGGAAGCCGTCAGTAGCAAAGCGGCGGCCTGAGGTGCAGAGGCTTCCGGTAGGTGTTTTCTTGTCTTCTCGATTACCTTGACAACGGTGGGGGCCAGGGACCGGTGGTCTGCACTAATCCAGAGAGCGATCTCAGCGGCTGGACTGGGATGGGTTCAGGCTTCTGGATCGTGAGGCCAAAGTGAGCTCCCGAGGCTCCTTGTTCGTTCTGAGGAGGGGATGGTAAATTTGGGGGCTTTCTTGCTTCTAGGCTTCTTTTCATGCCGTTTTCTCTTCCCGGAACGTCTTCTATCTAAATACTGTCTTTCTCAGCCTAGTTCAGATGCTGACCTCTTTATGAGCCTCCCCTACAGTCCCACTGTGACATCTTTCTTCCCCGAGCGCCCCTACCTCTTAACCCTCCTAACACCTCTTCCTTCTTGATCTGGTTATCTCCTACCTTTAGCTTCCCCGAGAGGCCTCTTCTGACTCTGAGGTTGGGCCAGGGCCCTCGAATTTCCCGAAGTCATTGGAAAGTGATCATTCTCTTGTCACAGGTTGTGCACCCTGGGCCAGGGACCAGAATCCAGCATCTCTAGCTTCAGCGCAGGGGAGACCAGTGCAAAGACCACTGATTTGGAAGTCAGGAGTCCTCTAGTCAGAGTCAGATTTTGCAGATTCCCAGCTGTGCGCCCCTGACTTTACCTGTTAGAGTTTGATTCCTCATTTGTATGGTGGTTATGGAGAGTTCATGACAGGAGGCTGTGTGTGTGTTGAGGGCGGGGAAGGGCTTATAAAGTGTCATACACCTTCTGGAAGGGAGGGGACTCAATTTGGGAGAGATGAGTCTGCCATGCTTAAAGGTAAGAGATAACCTAAGTTCTCTTTGCCAGCTTGTAAACGCTATGTGGTTTGAAAAATGCTTTGCTATTTACATTTGTTCTAGCCTTTTGTGTGGACTTTACCTGACTTGTAACATGTTTGTTAGGTCTAAAAGAGACCTTGGCAATCAATTGGCTAATCCACTGCCCTCATTTTACAGATGAGACTGAGGAAAGGAGGAAAAGAGACCTTCCTAAAGTCACAGAATAATTGTTAGGGCTGGACAAGAATCCAATCCTGTAACTGCAGAGATCAGAGATCTTTCTGTTACATTCTTGGGAAGCAGATTCTAAGGTACTTTGGTTTTACAGCTTTTTTTCTTTTTAAACACTGATCCTCTTGGCTTCCCCAATTGTACCCTCCTCACACTCTTATCATAATTGGCTTTCACCTGTCTGTCTCCCTCCTAAAATGTAACCTTCCAAGGGGCAGAGGGTATATCTTAATTTTTTGTTCTGTGTTCCCAATAACCAGTACAGGGCCAGGCTTGTAGTTGATGTTAGTTAACGTCTATTAAGCACACATTATACACCAGGCATGATACATACAATTATAAGTCTTCACAATGACCCCATAAGGTAGCTTGTGTTATTCCCCACAGATGAGGAAACTGAGACTTAATTAAGAGAGTTAAGTAGCTTTCTAAAGATCACAGGGTAAGTAGCAGAGCCAGGATTTGAACCTAGGCAATCTGGATCTGGAGCCCTTTCCTGTAGCTACTACCCTATGCTGCTGCAAGGAAGTGCACTTGTACCAAAATAGTGGCCGGTGAAGGCCTTTGGGGATTTGAAGCTCAGAAACCAATTCATTTAATTTCCTCCCCCAGATCTTTGTACATTATCTTGTTGGGGGGAAATGCCTAAAGTCAAAAGAAGCCGGAAAGCACCTCCAGATGGCTGGGAGTTGATCGAACCAACACTGGATGAATTAGACCAAAAGATGAGAGAAGGTGAGTGGGGGAGTTCCTCTTTGGGTGGGCTGGGTCCAAAGGTCGAGGCTTAATGCCTCCAGGGGGCCAGGCTTAAATGCAAATATAATGTTTTGTTTGTTTATTAACTCACAGGATTCCTATAAGTGCTGGAAAGTAAGCTAACATTAATGAAAAGTTCCTCAAAAGCTTTTTGGCCAACCTGAATATAAAAGCTTTAGGAAATACAGGTCAAATAGTCTCTCTAGAATTATTTACTGTTTTGGTTAGATGTATATTTAAAGTCATACCAAATATATTTACGTGGAAATGCTACTCTTTTTCACTTTCATATTTTATGAAACATTTTTATATTCAGACTTTTCTTGTGGGTCTTTGACACAGTTTATATCATTTAGTCTTTGGATCATCTGACCGTTTTCTAGAATGTACCATCATCGCTTCCCTGTAAATGGTGTGTGATCCTGCACTTTGTGAACCTGTATAATATGCTGTCTTCGGAAAATTTAACTGAAGGCACAAGCATCCATTGGCCTTACATGATCACAGTGTAACCACTTACTGAATTAGTTAAATGCTTATTTGTAACGAATCTAATCATTGCTATTATGAAGGCATGCCTCCAGCAATAATTACTAAATCAGCGTTCCATTACTTGCCTTTTTTCAAAACTGATTGGGATTGTACCAAGCCACCTTTTTTAAATATCCAGAGCTTGCAGTAATTAGTCATTTTGGGCTGAGAGATTTCTTCCCCAAAACAGCTCTTAATCAAAATAAAGGAAATAGGAGAATGCTGGAAGAGAAGAGATTTTGCTAGTCCTTGAAAGTAAATCTACTTCCTCTTTTAGGGAGTGACTTTTGAGGAGAAGGGAACCTTACCTTGTATTTAGAAGTGTGTGATATTCTTTACCTCCAAAAAGCAGTATTCTTTCTCCTGTTTTTCTTTAACCAATATAGTCTTTTGGCATTTCTTTGATGTCCCACTTTTGATAAACATAGGTTTTAAGACCTAGTTCATGCTGCCCTTACTTCCACTATAAAGAAAATAGCAGCCCAGGAAGATGATGGGTGGCCTTAAGAGACTTGGCTTCAGTGATAGAAACTAGAGGGAGCTCTGGGGATGGAGCAGACTGGAGAGGGGGAGAAGATGGAGCCTAGAGCCCATTTTACCACTTGGGGATAAAGGCTCAGCAATGCCAGGGTTGCTGAATTGAAAGAGGGTAGCAAGGATGGTACTGTGACTTACGGCAAGAGAAGGGCAGCAGCTTTGGAGTGGGTGACAGAGGAAGATTTCAGTTCTGGACATGTTAAGTCCAAGATGTTCTAAGATTTTCAGGGCTATCCAGATATCCAGAGCTGGGCTGCTCTGTCTTGCCCACTGCCATGTCTTGCACACCTAGAGCAGAGTGTTGCCCATAGCAAGCTTACAGTGTGTACTTTGCTGGCTCCTTAACACCTGTCTTTCTGCTTGGATGATGGAATGCCATTTGTTGAGCTGAATTATAAATCCTAGGTAACAGAATGGCTTAAATGTTGGAGAAATGTGGGTACGGTTTTCCTAACCACTCCTCACCTTCTCCTCTGCCCTAAAAGCTGAGAGGAGGTGGAAGGCAAAGATCAACTTGTAACTATTAAGAGAGAATGGCCTTGTGGCAGGTGTGAGCTCCACCTGATCTATGTGTGTTGAAGGGGCAGCTGTCTCCTGCAGGCCACCTTGCTGAGAACCTTCAGACTGGTCCAGTTTGTTTTGGCTTTTTCTCAGCCCCAAAGGACTTTGGTTGGGAAATGAAACTAAAGGTCCCTTAAAGATGATTAGGATACCCACCTCTGGGCCAAGAATTATCCTGAGAAATTGTTATGCCGTAGGAATAGGTCTGGAAGGGTAGAGAGACCAGGGTGTTAACAAAGGTTATTATTGAATGATTTTTTAAAATCCGTTTTCTAATTCTAATTGAAAAGGCATTTTTAATTTAAAACAATCACATTCAAATCATTCTTTTTTTTTAAATAACAGCTTTATTGAGATATAAATCATATACTATAAAAGTCACCCTTTTAGAGTGTCTAAGGGGTTTTTAGTGTATTCATTCACAAAGTTGTGCCACCATCGCTATGGTCAGTTTTACAACATTTCAAAGTTTATCCATGTTGTAGCGTGTGCCAGGATTTCTTTCCTTTTTAAGGCTGAATACTATTCCATTGTGTGGATAGACCACATTTTGTTCATCCACTCATCTGTTCAGGGACATTTGGATTGTTTATACTTTTGGCTTCTAGGAACTTTTATGTACAAGTTTATGTGTGCACATGTGTTTTTAGTTTTCTTTGGTATGTTCCCAGGAGTGGAATTGTTGCCGGGTCATGTTACAACTTCTTGAGGAACTGCCAAAATTTTCTACAGCGGCTGCACCATTTTACATTCCCACCAGCGGTGTGTGAGAGTTCCAGTTTCTCTACATCCTCTCCAACGCTTACTATCGTCCCATCATTTTGACTGTAGTCATCCTAGTGGGAAGGTGGTATTCGTTATCCCTAGTTATTGAAAAAAATGACACTCCATCCTGTGCAGACTAACCCTAGTCCCCAAAACAAACACACACTTTTTTTCTCCCCAGCTGAAACAGAGCCTCATGAGGGAAAGAGGAAAGTGGAATCTCTGTGGCCCATCTTCAGGATCCACCACCAGAAAACCCGCTATATCTTTGACCTCTTTTATAAGCGGAAAGCCATAAGCAGAGGTAATTGGCCAAGTTCCCTCTTGGCCTTTTGAATTTTAATAGCTTTCTGAATTATTTAAGTAATGACCCTTATCCTTGCAACCTCAGCAAGAGTCCTGACTCTTCTTACTACTAGAAATGGGGGGAGCCAATGTTGGCTAAATATTCTTTTTATTCAAGGGTGGCGATAGGCCAGCGGGGGGGAAGGTTTGTTACACCATGGTCTGATGCCCTTTCTCCATCTTTTTGACAGAACTATATGAATATTGCATTAAAGAAGGGTATGCAGACAAAAACCTGATTGCAAAATGGAAAAAGCAAGGGTATGAGAACTTGTGCTGCCTGCGGTGCATTCAGACACGGGACACCAATTTTGGAACAAACTGCATTTGCCGGGTCCCCAAAAGCAAGCTGGAAGTGGTAATGTCTGATACTCGAGTTCAACGTTATTTTCAGCACAAAATTCTGCCCTAGTCAACTCCAAAGGATTTCATATTATTTGGTTGGGCTGGAATGTAGTTTTGTCACTTGACAGCCTGCTAGCCATCCCACCTGGGAGTCCCTCTGCAGAAATCCATGCTAGGCAGAGTGTGGCAGTGAACGTGTGTGTTAGGTCTGGGGGCTAATCTCAACTCCACTTTTGGGCAAGTTACTGAACTCCAAGGTGGTGGGAGGGCTAGATCAGGGAAGGGTGGCCAGTCAGCGGGAGTTCCTCTCCCATTTCCTTCAGTCCTCACAATAACTTTTAATTTTACCATCACTGCAATTCTTCTGTCAGAAATTTCTGTTCCAAAAGTAGGCTGGGCACCTGGAGTGGTGCTGAGGGGGCAGTAGCTGAGCTCAGGGCACAGGCCCCTCTGAAAGAGAGTTGTAGACCGAGGCAGAGAAGAGTACGGCACCTTGCCCATTAGTAGCCATTCAGTGCAGCCCCTTGGCAGACAGTTGTTGGCCCAGCTATGAGGTCAGGCCAGAAAGCCTGTCTCCCAGCTTGGCCTTTTCACTAATTGGCCCCTTTATGCTGCAGCGAGAGCTATGATTTATAGAGCTTTGGCTCAGTGCTGAGGGTTTTAAGTGTTCAGGCAGCTCAGTCTCCCCGCACCACGCGGCAGTTCAGAGATGAGCATGCTGAGCAGTGGAGAGTGAGCGAGGGCCACCTCCCCAAGAGAAGGCTCTGGGTGCTGGTTTTCTGAAGGAGGCAGTGAAGGGTGGCAGAGTGGCAGAAGTCCCCCTCCTCTGAGAGCCGCAGGTTTCCATGGGGATGTAGTGCTGCTTCAACCCTGTGGCCAGAACAGAGCCTGCTTTTAGACTTAGCTGGGCTCCACCAGAGGATCTTGTTTGCTTAGACTCAGGTCTTGTTCTTCCAAGAGTTTTAAAAAGTAAAATAAACACAAACCACCGCTCTGGGGTCTTCTGTCTGCTGGGCAGGCCCCTGGCTGGGTACTGGGCCACACCAGGCCTAGGGAACAAGTTCTGCTGCTGACTGTTCTGGGGGGGGGGGGCACCAAGGCAGAAAGCTGACTCAAGTACACACCCTTCTGTTCCCCCTACCCCAACCAAAAGGTCTCCCAGCCCGGAGGAGGCCCTGAGGCCCCTGGCACTCAGCCTGCTGAGCAGCAGCAGCCCCACCTCAGCTCACTGCAGAGCCTGTCATGTCCACTTAGAGTAACAAGACTCATTCACACAGGTTTTTTTTCTTTAATGGCACATGTGTGTGTTGAATCTGCATAAGTTAAATGCACATAAAGGTATAACTTCCGTGTCAACAAAGCTGTTTACATCTTCATGAAGGAACCATGTTTTCTCTATCCAGAAGTGTCAAAGGGTTTCTGAGGTGCATCCTCTAGGGGATGTCCCATTTGGCACTCTCCTTGGTGGGAGGGTCCCTGTGTGTGTGGCGGGTGGTGGGTGCAGCGCCTCAGCTGTCCTCTGTTGCAGGGCCGCATCATCGAGTGCACGCACTGTGGCTGCCGGGGGTGCTCTGGCTGAGGCCCACGACCCCTCTCCACCCAGGACCTTGGACTTCGCAGTTGTTGCCTGCTGCACCAACCCCTCTCCTGGGAGCAGCTCTTCCCGCAGAGCGGTGCCCCAGGCCCGAGTTGGAACATGGTCTCTACAGGTGAAGGCTTTGCTGTCTATCAGCTGTGATTTGTAAAAATAAAACTTTTAAACTTCTTGGGCCCTGTGTCCATTCTTTCAGAGCAGCAGTCTGTGGGACCTAGTGGCAGAGTGCCAGGCCCTGGAGACCAGACGCCCAGGGACTGTATCCTGGCTCCCCCTTGTAGGTGCTGTGTGGCCCTGGGCAAGTGTGCTTGCCTCCTCAGTGATGGAGGTGACAGCCTCTCAGAGGCAGGGATGACCTGACACTCGAAGAAGGTGGGTCAAACTGTCCTTGGAGCTGCTGTGAACGTGGGCACCCTGGGCCCAAAGTCTGTCCTCATGCCAGTGCCTGTGAAATGCTGCAGCTCTTACTCTGGGCCAGGACTTTCCCTCGTGCATGAAGCAACACCAGCATTTTCACTTGTCTTTAATATAGAAGGGACTCTTGGGGCTCCCACAAAGTGCTGTGAGGCTAGACACTTTGTTCCAACTGTGCTCCCCATCACCTACCCTCAGGGCCTCCAACCACATCAGCCTGCCTGGCATCTTGGTCTCCCTTGGGCTTCGTCTGGAACTTCTGCCAGGGGTGGGGGGTTTCCTCTGCCGGCATCACTTTCAGCCATTGCTTGTAATAGGCTCGGAAGCCGTCAATCTTCTCCAGGTAGGTGTTCTTCCCTTTGTACTGTAATTGGAAAGGCGTGGGGTTCAGGGTGCAGAGGAGCCCTCTGATGGGAGTCACTGCCTGTTAACCTACAGCTAATCCGAACCACGGCAGCCAGCTCAGGCCTCAGGAAAACTGGTCCCTGCTGCTTGCTCTCCTTGCCAGGCAGCTGCAGCGAACAGGGCATAAGAGCTGCTGACGTGCAGTGTGGGAGCAGCTTACTGCAGAGAAGCAGGTTCCAGCTAAAGTTGCTGTGCCATGGGATAGGCCCAGATCCCCATCTGCCAGTCATCTTCCTAAACGTGTGCTGCTGTGCCCCTCCACCTACGGGTGTCACCACAGTCCCACCGACTCTGCCTCCAGTCTGCTGAGCCCCTCCCTTGGCACAGCCAGCACCTCCCTCTGACCCATCACTGCTGCAGCGGTCACCATGGAGAAGTAGAAAGAAAAGAAGCAAAAAGGTACACCAGGTAGAAACCTAAAGACAGCTGGCAGGGGAATATATAGAGAAAACAGGCCACAAAGTATTCACAAAGTATTATCAGAGATAAAGACTATTACTATGTGAAGATAAAAGGTTTGATTCAGAAGATTTAACAATTCTAAACTTGAATGTACCTAATATAGCCTGAAGTACATAAAGCAAAACCTGACAGGATCACAAATAGATTCTTCTGGGAAGAGACAAAAGAAAAAAAAGAATCACACCAGAGATATAAACAAGTCCACCATCATAAAGGCACTTATGAACACAAACCACTGCTCTGGGGTCTTCTGTCTGCTAGGCAGGCCCCTGGCCAGGTATCAGCCACATAAGGGAGCATGAGTATGGATGTTCCCTCACAATAGGGTTACATCCCAATAAACTGCATCCTAAGTTGAAAATGTGTCTAATGCTGGCAACACGCCAGATGGTCCCTGACTTAACAACGAACTTCATGTTAGCGTGAAAGTGACAGGCATTCCATAATCCCACTGCAAGCCCTTGGAAGGAGCTCCTCAACTTACGGTGGGGTTATACTCCGCTTTATTACGGGTTTATCATAAAGTCAAAATATCATAAATTGAACTGCAGTAAGTCAGGGATGTCTGTATATGATGTGAATACAGTAAGCTTCAGGCCTAGGATAGTCTTATAACATTTGAGTTGAACTTAAGAAGACCCTCGTGGGCCTCAGAACCAAAGAGTGAAGAGATAATCCACTAACTAGAAGATAACGTGCAACACTGAATCAACAAAAGACTATATATCCAGAATATGTAAAGAACTAGGCAATTAATGAGAGGACATTTCAAAGATGCCTAGTATGCTCTCTGCTGGGCACACTCCATTGCTGTCCCCTTGTTCCTGCAAAGCCTTCAAAATGGCACTCCCCCTGACCCCACGCCCCATGGCTGGTTGTCTCCCTCCCCTCTGGGCTGTGCTCCAGGCTGCCGTCGCTCTGGGTGCTCTGGAGATGCTCAGCACAGGGTCTTACTCAACAGACCCCAAACCAAACCCCCAGAGCCTGATCAGCAGGGTATGTGGCTGTGACCAAGCAAATTCCATCACTGCCCTGCTGCTGCCATTCACTGAACAAAACAGTCCATTGAGCACCTGGCAATGTGTGGGGACTGGGGTGAGCAAGGCAAGTGGGCTCCACCGCTGGAAGCCTGTGGTTTAGCGAAGGCTGGGGTGGCAGGTGCGGGCACGTGAGCACAGGCTGCAAGATGTGTGCAAAGGCACAGGGCTGAGTGCAATGGGGAGGCAGGTGGCGGGACACATGAGAAAGCCATTCAAGCAAAGGCCTATGGGAGGAGGGAGGAGCCAGTCGAGTGAAAAGCAAAAGGCAGCTGCTGAGGCAGAGGGAGCACAAGTGCCCTGAGGCAGGAAAGAGGCTGGTGGCCTCATGGAAATGGGGAGCCAGTAGGATGGACAGTCAACAAAGGCAAGACCAGCCTGAGAGATGAAATGAACCACACAGACCAGGACGGGAACTTGCGGGCTGTGGTCTAAGGACTTTGGGATTTCTCCTAAGGGAAGCTCTGGGCAGTTTTAAGCAAGAGAACGCAACCCCACAGGCCAGGACCATTGGGTGGGGGTGGTGCCAGGCTTGGTGCTCACCCGGTCAAAGGTGGGAGGGTACTCGGCTGCAAACTCCAGCTGGCGGATGACCACCTCATTCACCGGGATTCTGTTCCTCCTCATGTCCTTCAGGATGTCAATGAGATAGGCATAGTCCAGCTTCTTGACCGCTGCGTTAATGAGGGCGCTATAGATGTGGACGTTGGGGGTCACCTGGCACTTCTGGAACATCACAGACATTGTACAATCAGCAGGATGATGGCAGAGGTTGGGACAAAGCCTGCCACACCATGTCTTGCCTGGAGAGTTACCTGCTAGTCGGGGCCCTCAAGACCAGTGACCAGGGACAGAAGGGCAGAACCTAGTAGCGACAATGGGTTGCACTCCCTGCACGACAGAGGAAAGCAAGTGCTGACCCTCCCCTCAGCCCATCACAAGAAGTCTCCCAGAAGGAAGCCTGTGCTGCTCTCAGAGACCAGTGGACTTGGGTGGATAATGATGCAGGAGACACCACGTCCCCATTCTTGGCTGTGGGCTTATTGCTGACATGTCACCAGGAGGTGGTGGTCAGCCTAAAAACAGCCAGCATCCAGGAAAACAGCAAGAGAACAGTGAGTGTGGGGACACCCCAACCTGATCCCCAGGAAGTGCTCTCTGATGTGGTGGGTAAAATCCCTCATCAAGGTCTCCGTGTGGGCTGGGTGGGTATGTATCAGAGTTCCTGGGGGCTGTGATAACTGCCCCCCACCAGGAATTCTGATAATCCCCGCTCTGGTCATACCCTCCATCCCTCTGGAGTGTTGGGGCCAAGGCCCATCCCCATCCTTCAGTGTCACTTTCAAGATAGGAACACCCAGGGCTCTCCACGCCCAGCCCTGCAGCACTCACTAGGGTCCACTTTCTCCCAAATGGGACCTATGACCATTCTATACTGGACACTGATCTGCCCCAGTCTCCCTGCCCCCCAGCTTTCTTCCTGAGTACCCCCAGAGTGCCCCTCAGCACTACAGGTGTTCTGCCCAGGCCTGGGCCCACTCACCTTCATGTCTGCAAGCAGCTGTATCCCGTCCCCTGGCCTGCGGCACCCGATGGCCAGGTTGCAGAACGTCTGCAGGTTGGGGACAATTCCCCTCTTTGCCAGGACTGGCAACAGCGCCTGTGAGGACAGATGGCATCACTGTAACCTGTAACCCACCACCCTGGCGAGAGCCTTTCTGGTGAAGCCCTTGGCTGGATGCTGGAGACTCCAGGGATACAGTTCTCAGGCCCTGAGTCATGTCCAGCCCACCCCACAGGACCCACCTCCCCAGAATTCAGCTGTTCTGCACATGCACCCTGACCTCCACCCTGCCCGCCTCCAACAAGCTGTCCCTTCTCTAGGAACACCCTTCACATCCCCACCTGCTGCTGTGTGCTCTGTCAGCCACCCCTGCGCTCGGTCCTTCAGGCTCTAGAGCAAAGGCAATGTGGACCGCAGACAGTTGCCCGCTCAGCCTGGCTGGGTCAGGGAGGGTCCCTGGGGAATGGCTCTGTCACGTTTAGCTTGTCCAGAGCAGAGGCAGTGTCTGTCACCTTTGACCCTCTCAAGTGCCCAGGGCAGTGCTTCTGGCAAAAAAGGCATCCCATTAAGGCCTGTCATGTGAATGGATGACGTCCCAAGAGGGCCCCGATGTCCCCATCTGTGAGGCGGGGAAAGCCACGTACCAGCAGGGCCTCCAGTCCAACCAATAAACAAACTCATGAACATGAGGCTCTCAGGAGAGCATCTGGCACAGAGGAAGTGCCACGAGGGGCTGGGGGGTGTGTGTGTGTGTAGAGGGCGAGGACTCTCGGGGCTCTTGGGGCATCACAGGCTGCTCCCCAGGGAGTGACACCTTGGCCACAAGTTCCCACAGGACCCGTATGTCTCGTGCCCCCTCATCAGTGTCATGATGTGTTTGGGGGCTGCCCTCCCCGCTAACCTGGGGGTTCCACGAGGAGGGCAAGGAGGGCATCTGGCCGATTCACCACTTGGCTCCTGGCACCTCAGTCAGGGCCAGGCCCAGCATGGGCTGCAGATAAGCCTGCTGAGCCCAGAAGAACAGACAGACCAGCAGGTGAGCCGGCTCCGCAGTCTGAGTGTCAGAGCGGTCCCAGCCAAGAGGCCCTCACCTTCGCCCCTTGCAGGTCTCCCAGCTTGCTCTTCTTCCTAATCAGCGTGTTGAAGAACGTCACATCAGCCTCCACCTGGTGTGTGTCCAGGAGGGTCAGCAGCGAGGACTCCGCGGGGCTCCCCGACTCCACTACCTCAGCCAGCAGCGTGAGGGTCCTGATGTTGGGCTGGAGCCCATGCTCTGCCATCTTGCCCAGG